AGCTAAACTATTGCTTATGAGAACAAAGTTATATATATCAGTTTGATATACGTTATATATGAAAGTATATTATTTTCTCCCCTCACAATTGGTTCATGGTCAGGAACCAAATAATTCCATCTTATTATTATTGATGTGCGGTGTATATTTTGATTAACACCATAAAGCACAAAGATGAGTTCTCAAAGTTGAGGAAACAAGTTAGTTTTTCTAACATGAGGGGGAGACATGATAAACAGTTGAGAAAAAGTTACGTGGAATGAATTATCATTTGTTCATATAGATCCTCGAATAAGATAATATGAACTTGAAGTTCATAAAAAGATAATTCATGTGCAATATATTGCAAAGCATGCCAGACGCATTTGCTTACCCAAAGAAAGTAACTATATTCTCATTGCAAATGCTCATATTAAGTCCTAGAAGGACAAAGTCTATGGTACGCTTATAGCATACAGACAAATCGGTTTCAAATAAAACTTCTTGATAAAGAAGTTGAGCAAATGATCAAAATGATCATAATAAAGGAGGCAAGTGATCTAGAAGATCTCATGACATAACACTTCATAAAATCTCATGAAAGATTCAGGTACCTGAATATATAAATGAAGAGATCTCTATGTTATGTCTTTATGAAAAATAAGAAGGTTGGAACGGATATAAAATGTTCGTCGACGACATCTATGATACCGCTAAATATATATGAGGATCTTTAGTCTGGTGAAACAATTTCAAATAGAATTGGTTTCATATGAAAGACATGTAGTTTTGGACTTGCAGTTCAAACACTTGAAAGTACAAAGTCAATGGTATGTGCAATCAGTTTTTGATATCTTGCTATAACTATAAGCATGATGATAGCGAGAATACCTCTATGGAGATATTGAAGAGTCATTCCAAGACATTATATGAAGATGTTATATCTCTATCAAGAATGATGATTTCAAGGTGCAATATATTCATTCAAGTTAATATGGCTGATTTGTTTATCAAATATCTACCAAAGATCTTTTGAAGATGGTGCACAAGATTGGAATGCAAATGCTTAAGGATGTGAATTGATGCTCTCATGAGGGGGAGTTAATACGCGTTGTACTCTTTTTCCCTTACAAGGTTTTGTCCCACTGGGTTTTCCTTGCAAGGTTTTTAACGAGGCAACCAAAAGGCGTATCATTAGATATGTGTACTCTTTTTCCTTCTCTATAATTTTTTTCCCACTGGGTTTTATTTTAGTTAAGGTTTTAACGAGGCACATTATCTGTTGAATAGACATTCAAGGGGGAGTGTTATAAATAGAATTTTATTTATGGTGAATGTCTATATTTAGAGAGATTCTACGGTTCATTACTTGGTGGCTAAGTCACCCTCTCCCTATAAATAGAGGGTTCTATTCTATTGTAATTCATCCCAAATCAATAAGAATTCTCTCTCTCTACTTTTCTCTGCAATACTATTCTTCTTCTTTTATTGTTTCATAACAAGTTCTCATTAGATCTTTTTTCTTCATAGTACCCATTAATGTAACGACCAAAGTTTGTTAAATATTTGACGGAGACTAAAATTGCTCGGTTTTGGAAAATTTAAAGGACAAAAACTTTTCAAAAATATATTTATGAGACTATTTTAAACTAACTCCAAAACATAAAGGACCATATTTATCATTTTAGCAAGCATCTTCTTGGTTTAATCTTGGTCAATCAGTCTTGTGAAGACTGAGAGAGGATATGACAGAAGAAATTCCAGAGCTCACAAAAGCAGCTACAAGAAATGCATCTGGGATGTACATCAGTCGCAAGAAGTCATGTATCTTTGAGTTATTATCTGTATAAACAACTTTTTGTAAATCCACTGTTGCACCTAGTGCTGCTCCAGCTGCTGTTGCTAGTATGCCAAATGTAATCTGCATATGTAAAAGTAAAACCATGACAATTAATCTCGTTGCGGGAATATTTTTCAAAAATATTCTTTACCTTTTATTTTATGTCATGACAAGATTGTTTTGGTACCTATAAAATTGACCAAAGTTATACCGAAAGTGTCAATATCTTTTACACCAACAGATTTGATATGTTATATTTGAATGTTAGTTACTCCTATCATTTTTAAGATTACTAATTAATGTTTATCGTAGCAATTTACTTGTATTAAAAAAGGGTAGACGGTGCACTAAGCTCCCGTTATATGCAGGGCCCGGAGAAGGGCTGGACCACAAGGGTCTATTGTATGCAGCCTTACCCTAGATTTCTGCAAGAGGCCGTTTCCACGGCTCGAATCCGTATGGCAGCAACTTTACCAGTTAGTCAGTTACGCCAAGTCTCCCATTCACGGATTTTCTTGTATTATCTTACATAAACTCAAACTCAAAAAAAAAAAAATACCGTTAAAATATATATAGTTTTCAATAGTCAAAGAAATTTAAAATGGCAAAATCTTTGTTAATCTTATCACCATAAAATTCAAACTAGCGAAAGCTGTGATGGCCTATGAGACGTTTGTTATGAATGAAAATAACATCTTGGAGGACATATTGGTAAATTTAGCAAGTTATGTATGGGACCCGGGTTAGAAAATGGTTAAATACCACTAGGTTAGTAAAAAAGGTATGCATATTGTTGAGTAAAATGTCTGCTTCTCATTTCTTTCTCTGAGTGTCTGTATCCTCTCATCTCCTTTCTCTGAGTCTGAGCTTCTCATCCTTTCTTCTCTATCTTTTGTATTTCACTTTAGTATCTCTAATTCCTATAATAGTCTTGAGTTGAGTTGTAATTTCTTGTCACTGTTGAAGTTATAGAAGTGTTGAAAAACTGGTTTGTTACATTGGTGCTTTCATCGATTCGAACTCCAATGGCAGCAGTGATACTAGATAAATTCAGCAATGGTAACCCAGAGAGCTGGGTTTATCGGGCGGAGCGTTACTTCAAATTCCTTGGCTTCTCCGAGGAAGACTGGTTACCTCTTCCTTACTTCTACCTTGAAGGTGAGGCCCTCGCTTGGTTTGATTGGCTACATCGTAACAAACAGTTCTACGATTGGAACCACTTCAAGGAGAAATTGTTTTTGCGATTTCGAAAATGGACCTTCGCAGATTCCAATAGGAGTGTGGCTGATTCGCCCCTGGCTTATCCTCATGACGTTAGTTATGCTACTTTGTGTTCGTCTAAAGCCCAGGTATCTCCCTTCAGGTCCAACTTCTATGGGTTAGAATCTACACTCAAAGTGGGAAACTCAGAAGCGAAGCATGTGTTCGATGAAATGCCTACTAGAGCTTTCACCAAAGCAGTGAATGAAACTTCTTCTGTTAAAGTAGCGTGGAAAAGCACAGATGCCCACGTCTCTATTTCAAACTTTGCTGCTGATTTGAACGATAATCAGTCACCTAAGGTGTTCGGCGAAACACCTACAACGGCAACTTCCAGCATTCATTTTCCTTCCACAGTGAGTTCAATCCCTTATCTACCAGTACTTAAACTTCATGCTTCTGGTTCCCTATTCTATGATGGGGACAAGTCCGCAATTGACGAAGACAAGGTGTTTGATGACAGTTCCCAGTCGACCACGACTGCTGTAACACGTGATGATATTTCAGAAATTTATATTTCCCCTATGGTCGATGAAAAACGAGATTTGGAATCCTTGAATAAGCCTGCAGACTTAGTAGGCGCAACAGAGGATCTTGATTGTAAAGCTAAGTTGATGCAGGAAGGTGCAAATGCCTTTTCTGCTATTCCCTTGGCAGTGCCTTATGGACAGAGTGCTTCTAATTTTTTCGAGCTAGAACACTTAATCTAGCCGGACAGCAACACAATTCCTGTACCCGTTGGTGTTGCTCATCTAGAAACGCTAGGTCCAAAACTCAGCAATGGCCAAATGTTCGACAAAATTTCTGATGGAATGAAACTGGCTCACTGATTAGCCTTCAGCTTGCAGGCACCAGGACAACATTTAAGTACGTATTGGATCATGGTGGTAAACTGGTTTCAACTTTCAATCAATTGTTACTAGTTAAGGATTGCGTGACTCAATTCCCATTCGATCACGGAGCGGATCTATTCATTGTGAACCTTGGTGGACCTGTTACTATTCTTGGCGAGAATTTTAAGACCTTGAGTCTAACCGGTCATACTGAGTACATGCAGGCACCACTATTGATGGGATTGACCGGCAATTTTTGCTCATTCGCATTTTCTAACTATACGACTAAAGTGTGGGATCACGGACAAAAATGGTATTTACATTCCTACATTCTAAAATTTAATTCGATATTGACAGTTACATCTCCAGCTTTTCATCAGTATTATAGTGCCAAAAAAGATCCTTCATCCGACTTGATAGAGTTGAAACCGGGTGCTGAAGTGGTAGTAAACAAGGTGCCGAAGTTGTTCGATCAATATTTTCAAAAGACCAACACAAAGTTTGCAAGAACTGGCACATGGAATATAAGCGATGACCTTATACTAACAATTAACAACCAGTCAAGAGTTGAGCTCAATGACTTCCAGGTCTGCATTTGGGTCGACACAGGGCAAAGAATCGAGGTTGGTAGTTTTTGTTTTGACTTGTTTATAAACAACAGGCAAGATGGTATATGTGCTAAATATGAATGGTGGTACAAGGCATCAAACTATCAATTTTACTTAAATAACAATGGTAGGAATGTGGATGCATGTGGTGGAAGTCGCTATTTTGTTGGTAGTGATGATGAAATAATCAACACCGTGAAAACCTATGAGGGTGAAGATAAAACATGTTTTGAGCAAAAGATTGGAGAAATGGATTTAAGGCTTGACAAATTTAAGAAGGAGTTGAGAAAAGTCATTGCCCTTGAAATTGTTCTTTATTCAGTGATATCTGAGCATGAATGTTCTGTCTACAAACTGCACATATCTCCCAGGCACCTTTCTAAACTTTACCATCATACTTGTAAATATTGGTGTCTAGACAAAAGAGCTACAATTGCTAAAAATATTATTTCTAGCCTTGTTTTAGTTTCCATTATCCTAAGAGACCATGCTTTCCAGAAGGCTCTGAAGAGATTATATCCTGTTGTCAATGGATGGGTGATGGAACAATGTGTTGCCAGACTAGATGGGGTTAAGTTCAATATGGTTTTTCATGAGTCAGCTTGTGAGATCCCAACTGTTGCTCTATATCTAATAGCTGACTCAAAGGAGTTGCATATTCCAGCATTGTGCTTTGCAACATTATTCTCATGGGAACTGTTTGATAACCGTTTTTCAGACCCATTTCTTATTGATGTAACACCTGATCCACATTCAAGTCTTAGTATAATCATCGCTATGATATCATTGTTGTTCTACTCGAACCTTGAGGACAAGGTTCTTATTGAGGATGGCGGTATTGTTATGAATGAAAATAACATCTTGGAGGACATATTGGTAAATTTAGCAAGTTATGTATGGGACCCGGGTTAGAAAATGGTTAAATACCACTAGGTTAGTAAAAAAGGTATGCATATTGTTGAGTAAAATGTCTGCTTCTCATTTCTTTCTCTGAGTGTCTGTATCCTCTCATCTCCTTGCTCTGAGTCTGAGCTTCTCATCCTTTCTTCTCTATCTTTTGTATTTCAGTTTGGTATCTCTAATTCCTGTAATAGTCTTGAGTTGAGTTGTAATTTCTTGTCACTGTTGAAGTTATAGAAGTGTTGAAAAACTGGTTTGTTACATTGGTGCTTTCATCGATTCGAACTCCAATGGCAGCAGTGATACTAGATAAATTCAGCAATGGTAACCCAAAGAGTTGGGTTTATCGGGCAGAGCGTTACTTCAAATTCCTTGCCTATTACCTCATATCAAGTAATAGAAGTGTTTAAAAACTGGTTTGTTACAACGTTTCTTTGATATGAGGTAATAGGCTGCGAAGGGAATATGCAATGTGTTGTAGATAATTCCTGCTACCATTACACCAAGCATGCACCTATACAAGAAGGAAACAACGAATAAGATTCTTCTTATTGTTGTTATTGATCGCATCATCAGCACTATTTACATTTTTTTCCCATTCAATTGCTTATAACAATGTTTGTGCTTTATTTTTAAGTACATACATTTTTATTCCAAACGATAAATTAATCATCGCAAATACGTATGTGTATTTGGAAATGATAATTAATAGGCTACGTAATTATTAATTAGCAATAATATCTCCATGTACTCATATAAAATTCCAGATCGATTTCAACCTTTAAGTGGGTAGTTTCATTGGAGAAATTAAGATTAGTACTCCCTCCGTCTCATAATATGTGTAATGGTTACTAAAAATAGTTGTTTTAAATTATATGTCATTTTAGAAGTTCAAGACAAAATTGATTATATTTTTCCTCTTTTACCTTTAATAATCAATTGCATTCACATATTGTAAAAATATGAATAATGTCATTGATAGAGATGACATATAAATTGAGAAAATACTTAATAAGGGTAAAGTAGTAAAAACTATTCTTTTTTAAGAGGCGTACATAAGAGAATCACCATATATATTATGAGACGGAGGGAGTAATAATTACCTGTATGAGCGGAAATAATCGTACTCAAGTTTGGCTCCTTTATCTAAAGTTGCTTTATTGCTCTTCAACACAATAACTGAGACCACAGCACAAGCTATAGTTATGATCCTCGCTACCTGTGTAATTGTAGGCGTATAAATTTTATTGGAATTAAATCCATAAAATAATTTGGATTATATTTTAAATTCAAGATATATTAGTTCAAATAAATTTATTGGGCTATTACAATTGAATTAATTATATAAGTCCAACATGTATGGATTAAATAAATGAATTTTAATCCATTGGGCTAACCTATTTAATTGGGCTAAAGTGATGAGCCCACTTCATTAAGCCCAAGATGACATCTTCCTAGAGGCCCAGTTTGGTGCCACGTGTCAAATGACGTGGCGCGCCAAGTCAAGCGGAATAGCCAATAGGACCATGCCACGTGTCAAAATGACAAGGCATGCGCAGTCACACTAAAAGGCCAATGAAATCGCGCCACGTGTGCAAGTGACATGTTCTGGCCAATCAAATTTGGCCATGTCACACTTCAATTTGATTGGTCGGAAAGAGTTTGTTCTTATCACAACTCCTCCCTTCCACAACTATAAATAGGGGTCTTCATAACTCAGAAAAGGGACCAGAAGTTATAACAAGAAGCGGGAAAGAGCTCGTGGATCAAACACTGCAAATTCCTCCACAAGTTTCAAGCTTGAAGCAGTCAAGTTTCAAGCATCAAGCAATCAAGTTCAAGCTCAAGAATGAAGAACAAATCAACTTCAAGCTCAAGAACAAAGAACAAATCAAGTTCAAGCTCAAGAACGAAGAACGAATCAAGGTCAAGTTCAAGCAATGAAGCTAAAGCTCAAGAACAAGATCATCGTTCGTGGAGACAACTACATATTCAAGATCAAGCTCAAAGGCCCTTGAATTTATTTACTATTGAAAAGAAGAATCAGAGGATTCATAGAGATTGTAACACTCAAATATTCGAAATAAAATACTACGATTGTTGCGATATTTTCGGTTGTGATTTTATTTTCTTGACGCAAATTTATTGTCTACAAATTCTGGCACGTCCAGTGGGACAATCTCTACCTCTCATCTCAACTTTTCAATCACCAAAGTCCAAGAACATTGAAATGGCATTAAAGAAAATCAACTCCGGTTCAACTTCCACCAAGGCTACTAACTCCAGGTTCTATGTTGATGTGGAAATCATCCTCGGTGTTACCTTTGGAAGCTTCGGACCAGTTACGAGGAGCAAAGCAAGCTCTTTAGGACAACAAGCACCCCAAGTGCTGTCCGCATCAACCCCTATTTTCGGATCTTCATCCTCAAAAGGAGCAAGATCTTCCACAAACGTATCTGAAGGAGGAAGCGATGTTGCTGGAAAGATCAAGAAAACTCTTGTTCTGCTTGACCTCTCCGGCTCCAAGCACTCTGCTGTGAAGGAAGATGATGATGCTTCAAGTGATGGATCCTCCCCACTTACACCACATAGCGTGAGCCAATCAAGGATCAATCTGTGTGAAAATCCATGCTACTTTCCTTCATCCACGACAATCATGCAAGCCATGGTGACAAACACTTCATCTATGGAGGAGCAATTGGCAAACTTGACAGAAGCAATCGCTGGCTTGACCAAATGCATGCAAAATCAAGAGGCTAGAATTGACAAGCTAACAGACAGGGTGGGAATCTTGATGGAAGAAGAATCCACCCATGCACCCGGCAAGCTCCAAGAGGTTCTAGAGAGTGACTCTCCCCCAAGACAAGCAACATTCACTAAGGCTATCCCTGTCTCATCTGAAGGGATGATTCCAATCGATCAACTGAAGGAGTTCATCGAAGGAACCATTAAGAGCAAATATGAAGTTGCTGCCGAATCCTCCCTTACATATGCAAAGTCGTACACTGCAAGGGTCGATATGTTGAAGATGCCTGCTGGCTATCAACCTCCGAAGTTTCAACAGTTTGATGGTAAAGGTAACCCAAAGCAACATGTTGCGCACTTCGTGGAGACGTGCAACAATGCTGGGACTTATGGAGATTACCTTATCAAGCAGTTTGTCCGCTCGCTAAAAGGAAATTCTTTTGACTAGTATACGGACCTCGAGGCTAGATCAATCGATAGATGGGATCAACTAGAGCAAGAGTTCCTCAATCGCTTTTATAGTACGAGACGTACTTTGAGTATGATAGAACTTACAGATACTCGTCAACGAAAGGGGGAACCAGTTATCGACTTTATCAATCGTTGGAGGAATGCAAGCCTCAACTGCAAAGACAGGCTTAGTGAAGCTTCAGGCATAGAGATGTGCATCCAAGGCATGCATTGGGGATTGCGCTACATCTTGCAAGGTATCAAGCCTAGCACATTTGAAGAACTTGCAACTCGTGCCCATGACATGGAATTGAGCATGGCCTCCGCTGGAAATGAAAGGCTGCCCATCTATGAACCTCGCAAAGGGAATGACAAGCAAGAAGTCAGGAAGTGGGGCAAGTTCGTACCCAAGTCTGAAAGCAAAGAAGCTATGAATGTCAACACGTCACCTATGAAGTTCACGACGAAGGTGAGCAAGAAGCAGAGTATGAAATCCACTTCTTTTCAAGATAAGCCAAGTGGAAAGTTGACTCTAAAAGAAATGCAGGAGAAAGAGTACCCATTCCTGGATTCTGATGTGCCAGCCATTTTCGAAGAACTCCTCGAGTTAAATCTCATTGAGCTTCCAGAGATGAAGCGACCAAATGAAGCTGGGAAAACAAATGACCCAAATTACTGCAAATATCACCGACTTGTAAGCCACCCTCTGGAGAAGTGCTTTGTCTTCAAGGACAAAGTCATGGACTTGGCCCGCGAAAAGAAGATCGTGCTTGAAGATGAGAAAGCAAGCGCGAACCAAGTCTCTATCACCTTTGGCTCATTCAGTCTAGATGAGTTATGCAGTTTAAAAGGAATCAAAAATGAAGAATTACTGGAGAACAACAAAGTTGAAGACGATCAACCTGATGATGATGAAGGTTGGACGTTGGTGACTCGTCGTAGGCGCCACAAAAGGAGCCCACGAAAAGAATCAATAGAACAACCAACAAGGAAGATGATGGTAAAAAGACCAACGAAAAAGAATCCAGTTAAATATTTAAAGAAAGCAAAAGTAGAGGTGCACAGTTCTCAAAAGCCACGAGACCTTGGAGGAGTTTTGACCAAGTTGGTTCCGCACGAAGATTTCCCGTGATTGTATTGAGGCCTCTTGTTGCAATGCTGACAAAGGGGAAGAAAAGAGTGATGACCTACCGTTGGCACCATCTTCGGAAAAGCTCACTGAGTCCACTCCTCAAGAAGTTAATGCTTGTGAGGAAAAAGTCACGTTCACAAATGACGATCTTCTGCTAGGTGACACTCCTCATAACCGCCCATTGTACCTGGTTGGCTATATGCGTGATGAAAGGGTAAATCGAATTTTGGTTGATGGAGGATCCTCAGTGAACATTTTGCCAATTCGCACTGTGAAAGAACTTGGTATTCCCATGAACGAACTCTCAAAAAGTCGTGTGATGATCCAAGGATTCAACCAAGGGGGGCAAAGAGCCATAGGCGCGATCAAGCTGGAAATCACCTATTGAAGATATCCAATCAAGTGCATGGCTGCATGTGATAGATGCAAAGACTTCATAAAATGTCTTGCTTGGAAGGGTTTGGATACATGAGAATAAAGTAGTTCCATCTACCTACCATCAATGTTTAAAATACTACGAGGGTGAAGTCGAGAAGAAGATAGTTGCTGATGATGAGCCATTCATCGAGGCACAGTCACACTTCGCCGATGCAAAGTTCTACTTGAAGAACCGCATTGTGAAGGAGATAAAAGTTGATGATGGCATGAAAAGCAAGAATGACGAGCCCACAACTAAAAGAGCAGAGGTGACTACTGGTAAAGCCAAAGCTGTTACTAAGGAGGTACAACCCAACGCGAATAAATCTTATAGAGGGGGTATTGCGTCTTATGGAAAGAAAGTAAGTCCGGCTCTCCAATATGTCCCTAAAAGGAAGAAAGACGAAAGTGAATCATCTAATCGCCAAGCTAACATGCTAAAGGAGTTAACTCTTCCGGTAAAATGAATTGAGGCGGTAAAGTTGTCCTCGAAGCCGCTTGCAGGGTTTGTAGCCCAAAATCGTTTGCAGAATGTGGCACTCCCTACAAAGCGAACAGATGAAGGTTTTGACCCTAACGCTTACAAGCTATTTGCAAAAGCTGGATACAATCCCAATGAGCCATCAAAGTTAGGGAAGCTCCCATCAGAAGCTGCAACGAGGCAACCACGTGAAGGTTTGGATACAAACAACCGTCACCAATGCGCATCTCAATAAGAAGGATGAGCAGCAATTATATCACTGTAGAAGATGAATCAGCCGCTTCTAACAAGCCTTCTGTCTTTGATCGACTTGGAAAATCACCTGTGAGGACCTCCGTGTTTGAAAGATTGGGTCCATTAAAGAAGGGGAACAAGTTCCGGAGAAATTTTCAAAGCATAAGAACACCCGCTTCACCCAAAATCCAGGAGATCTCTAAGGATTTCCAAAGTTTGGTTCCTTCTAGAATGAGGCGACAAACAAAACTTGTGGTTTCATGTAAAGAAGTACTGAAGGTAAAGCCATATACTGTGGTCTATACTAAGGAACATGATGAAGACGAAGAAAGTGTGGGTTCTTCGTATCATGTTACTGTACAAGTCGAGAATGGCATTCCATCTTCGATGGAGGATAATGCAGAATTGGAGGATATTTCGCCGTGTTATCACATATCCTCCAATGATGGGGACCCTCAAGAAGATGAAGATGCGAAAGATGCTCCACCTGAACTTGAAGAAGGAGTGAAGACGACAATTGATGCCTTAAAAGAAGTTAACCTTGGCACCAATGAAGAACCAAGACCCACCTACCTATGTGCTTTACTAGAAGCTGATGAAAAGAGCACTTATATTGAGTTACTCAAAGAGTTCAGGGATGTCTTTGCTTGGAGTTACAAAGAGATGCCTGGCTTGGACCCGAAAGTAGCAGTCCATCACCTTGCAGTAAAAAATGGTGCTCGCCCTGTTAAACAAGCTCAAAGGCGTTTTAGGCCGGACCTGGTTCCCTTGATTGAAACAGAAGTTAACAAACTCATCGAAGCTGGATTTATTCGGGAAGTTAAATACCTAACATGGGTCACGTATTGTCCCTGTAAGGAAGAAGAATGGCCAGATTCGAGTATGCGTTGACTTCAGGGACCTCAATAATGCATGTCCCAAAGATGAATTCCCGCTTCCAATTCCAGAACTGAAGATCGACGCTACTACTGGGTACGAGGCATTGTCTTTCATGGATGGTTCGTCGGGCTTTAACCAAATACGCATGGCACCAAAAGATGAAGAGCTTACTGCGTTCCGCACCCCCAAGGGTATTTATTGCTACAAGGTAATGCCTTTTGGCTTGAAGAATGCTGGTGCTACTTACCAAACTATGCAGAATATTTTTGTCAATCTTCTCCACAAAAATGTCGAATGCTATGTTGACGACTTGGTGGTGAAATCAAGAGAGAAAGGCGACCACAAGAAAGACTTGAGGATGGTATTTGAATTGCTCCGGAGGTACCAACTTAGGATGAATCCATTGAAATGTGCCTTCGGAGTTACTTCTGGAAAGTTCCTTGGTTTCATTGTTCGACGCCGAGGGATCGAAATTGATCAAGCCAAAGTGGATGCCATTTTGAAAATGCCTGAGCCTCGAGATATCCGTGAATTGAAAAGTCTGCAAGGAAAGTTAGAGTACCTTAGGAGATTCATCTCGAACCTAGCTGGGAGGTGTCAACCGTTCAGTCGCCTTATGAAGAAAGGTGTCCCTTTCAAATGGGACCAAACATGCAGTAATGCTTTTGAGAGCATTAAATCCTACTTGATGAAGCCTCCAGTTTTAGCAGCCCCTATACCTGGAAAGCCATTGATACTATACATTGCGGCGCAGGAAAGGTCTGTTGGAGCATTATTGGCCCAAGAAAATAGTGAGGGGAAAGACAACTCTCTTTACTACTTGTGTAGGATGATGACACCTAACGAGTTGAACTATTCGCCAATTGAAAAGTTGTGTTTGGCGCTAGTCTTCTCAATTCAAAAGTTGAAGCACTACTTTCAAGCTCATATTGTCTGTCTCGTTTCTAAAGCAAATCCCATCAAGTTCGTGATGTTAAAACCTGTTCTTAGTGATTGACTAGCGAGATGGTACCTTCAATTTCAACAATTCGAGATTTTGTACATCCCTCAAAAGGCTGTAAAAAGACAAGCATTGGCAGACTTCTTGGCAGATCATCCGATACCTGATGATTGGGAGCTAACTGATGAACTACCTGATAGGACGAAATGGTCGTTGAAGTTCAACCTCCATGGAAGATGTACTTTGATGGTGCTGCGCACCATGGGGGAGCCGGGGCTGGCGTAGTATTTGTCACTCCCCAAGGTGAAGTCTTGCCCTACTCCTTCACCTTGACACAACTCTGTTCCAACAATGTTGCTAAGTATCAAGCATTAATACTCGGGCTTGAAATGGCCGTTGATATGAAGCAATTGCAATTGCAAGTCTTTGGTGACTCCCAGTTAGTGGTCAATCAACTTTTGGGTAGTTACGAGGTCAAGAAGCCTAAACTACGCCCATATCATGATTAAGCTAAATAGTTGATGGGGTGGCTCGGTGATGTGACTATTTAGCATGTGCCAAGGAAAGAAAATAAGAAGGCTGATGCTTTAGCTGCTCTAGCTTCATCATTAGCCTCTAGCTTCATCATTAGCCCTGCCTGACCAAGTGCAAGTTATCGTCTGCCAAAAATGGGTAGTACCGCCGCCAAATGAGGCTGAAGGTGAAGAAAATGAACTCAAGCATCTTGTTGCTGTTTCTGAAGTTGAGAAAGAAGAATGGCGACAACCCATTATCGACTACTTATGTTATGGGATACTTCCAGAAAATTCGAGGAGAAGGACTGAAATCCGTCGTCGTTCAGCTCGCTTCCTTTACTACAAGGATACTCTATACAGAAGGTCGTTCGAAAGAGTACTCTTGCGATGCCTAGGAGAAGAAGAAGCTCTTCAAGCTTTGCAAGAGGCACATTCTGGGGTATGTGGGTCACACCAATCCGGACCAAAGCTCCACTTCCATATAAAAAGGATGGGATATTATTGGCCAACGATGGTAAAAGATTGCTTGGACTACGCCCGAAGATCCAAGGCTTGCCAATTCCATGCGAATTTTATTTATCAACCTCCTGAAGTGTTGCCCCTGACTATTGCATCCTGGCCATTTGACACTTGGGGATTGGATGTTGTTGGACCACTGCCAAAGTCCTCTAGTGGGCACCTATACATCTTGGCTGCAACTGACTACTTCTCAAAATGGGCTGAAGCTGTTGCTCTTAAGGAAGTAAAGAAGGAAAATGTTGCAAGTTTCATCCGAGTAAACATTATTTATCGCTTTGGCATTCCTCGTTATATAATAACGGATAATGGAAAGCCATTCGATAATAGGTTGATGAACAAGATTTGTGATCTCTTTGGCTTCAAGCAACGTAACTCTTCGATGTACAATGCTGCCGCCAATGGTCTAGCTGAGGCATTCAACAAGACTCTATGCAACTTGTTAAAGAAAGTCGTCTCCAGATCCAAACAAGATTGGAATGACCATATGGAAGAAGCTCTATGGGCATATAGGACGACTCACCGCACGCCAACACAGGCGACTCCTTATTCACTCGTTTATGGAGTCGAAGTCGTCTTGCCACTTGAGCGTCAAATACCTTCGTTACGACTAGCTATTCAAGAAGGGATCACTGATGAAGAAAACGCTTGACTTCGATTAGCAGAGTTGGAAGCTCTTGATGAAAAGAGATTGGAAGCTCAACAGAGTCTTGAATGTTATCAAGCTCGATTATCTCGCGCCTTCAATAAAAGAGTTCGCCCGAGATCCTTTCAAGTAGGAGATCAAGTCCTTGTCGTACGAAGACCCATAATTACTTCCCATAAACCTGTAGGGAAGTTCACTTCAAAATAAGATGAATAATGGGAACTTTAAAGAAAACAGTAAACAGTCTCGCAATGGAAGCTAATATAAACCAGCAAACTTTAGAGAGAAAAAACTTTAGAGAAAAAAAATTATCGCAAGCAAACAAGTGACATGAAGAAGCAAATAAACAAAATTGCATACACAATTCAGGATATACAGAGATAATGGAATCAAATTTTAGCAGCAAGAAACAAAAACAACGCGAACCACTGTAGTACCAAAATCTTTCTTTCAAAAAGTGTAAACACGCATACAATAAGCAGCAAGGTTAGAGATAAAACTCATCATAAACAAATAAGTGAGATTAAAAACAACAAATTCTATAATAAAAACCTCCATCACTAATGAAAAACAACAAATTCTTGCCTAATCACCTCTCTCTACCTCTTGTTTGGCCTACCTCTACCTCTCTGTAGGCCCTCCAATGTCAATCTCTCACACCTCCAATGCTGGTCATCACTAACTTATCCAATTAACAACAAAATCGCATTGCATTGACCCTCACCAGTCTCTTCTTCTTCCCTATCAATCGGCTTTTAAGAAAGGCCTATCGAGTTCCAGACTAAGCTTAAATCTTCTTTTTTTTCCAATAAGAAGCCTAAGGTTAAAGCCTAAGTCTCTCGAGTACATTTTTGAACGCTGCAAAACTACACAAGAAATGGAACCAATCATAATCAATACGATCTTAAAACTAGAATTCACCATCTAGCTAACATAAATTTCGCACTTTATGTTAACTAAATGAGTAAAGTTTCATTTGTTTAATACACAATTCAATATTAAACTAGCAAACTACACGGCGAGATATTTTTACAACATTTACCAATCCTGTGTTGGAACAAGAACAATCGACGATCAATCAATCAATCAACTATGTGGCTACACTACAATCCTAAACTAGTAAGAGCACTACTAATTCCACTATTTGAGCACATTTCATTGCAATAAAAAATAGTACTAACAGGCAATAAATAAAGAAGAACTAATAGAATATAACTCCAAATACTAACCTCATCGCCCCATGATCGATATCTTTCCCTAAGAGGCCTGAGGCACAGTACTGGACAAAACCCACCAAAAATGAACCATAAACTGAATAAAACTCTAAGTAAAACTCCATTATTTTTCCTCAAAAAGATAAAATTTCTAGCCACACCCATTTTAAGATCAATTCAAAGTCTTCTCCTTTTAGCAATTCTTGAACAACCCAGATGAAGAAATAAAGCCCATTACAGTTACCAAGAAGAAAAATTTAAAAGAAGAAATACAGAAAATGGGGGTTGCTTAAAGTGAAGTCCAAACAACAAAAATCAAGAGACCAAACAACTTCAGAGAAAATGAAAGCTCAACATAAGCAGGATCATTGAATTGTTGATTTGGGGTTTACCAAGAATGCCTTCTTTTTTCTTCTTTTTTTTTTTTTTGCCTACAATTTTGTGTTCCCAATTTAGAATATAGATTAATAGTGTAACCAATTTTCAACACTGACAAATGCTCCAAAATAACAAATAAAAGGAACATAGCATGACTTACTATTGCAACTTGAGTATCTGCATGAACTTCCTTCTCTTTCTTTGTACGAATTGTAATAATCATTTCGATGGTTCCTCGTTGTTCTCTTTGTTTGAGAACTACAAATTACATCAAAGAAAATAAAAACAAAAACATCTCTGTGTTCCGACAAAGTACAAAACCAAAAATTAAACAAAACATATTACTTTTTTCAGCCCAAGAAGCTGAAATTAGTAAGAAATTGAAAACTTTGATACCCAAAAATTAAACAAAACGAAATTACTTCTTTTCAGCCCAAGAATCTGAAATTAGAAAAAGTTAAAAACTTTGAGTATAAAACAAAGATTGTACCAAGATATCCAGACATTGTATATAATAAAAGATTATTTGTTCATTCCCATTAGTAAGAAACTAGAAAATTTGAATCTTAAAATATAAGAACAAAACTAGAAATTGAAAAAAACGAAAAAGTTTTGAGTAAATTAAAAGAAATACTAACCAAAATGGAGATTTGCTATGATTTACAGTAATCTGGAAGATACATGGAGCAATGAATGGCAAGCATTAGGTAACCGAAGACGATGAAGCTAGGGTGAAGCGGCAGAGGAGAGAAAAGAATTGGGGAAAGTTTTTTCACTAGTAGTTGGGCTATGATTTTTTTGCCTTGTATTGGGATTTGGAGGGAAATATTTCATTAAGTGTAATATTTTGGGGGGAAATATTTTTATTAAGTGTAATATGTGGGGAAAATTTTGGGAGACAACTTTTATAAGAAATTTTTAGAGTACGCTTAAAAATGCTACAATTAGTATGGCATTATAATAACTCTTCAAAAACGTTGCATTACAATTAATAAGCGTTGCTAGATAATTTGTGAATTAGCAACACTTAAAAAGTGTTATCTTTACATTTTAAGAACACGCTTTTTAAGGGTGGCCTTAAAAACTATAGCCGTAGACTCTAATCAAAGGCCACACTTATAATGTGTATCTATAGATACTTTTAGCCACAATTTTCAAGCATTGTCTATAATTAATGTGGCCTAAAATGCTGTAGTGTCCAAAAGCATTGGAACCGAGAATAAAGATTTGAAAGGTTGACACCGGTTAGAAAAAGAGAGTATTCAATGAGCAACCGTTACAAAGAATCTCAATATTGACGTTCGATCATTATGCAACCATCAATAAGGATTTTATTCTCATTCAAGAAGCGCTTGATTTGAAGATCTTGTCTCCTTGAATAGAGCTATAAATAAGTTGTATCCATAGTTGGACAGAAAAAAATCATCTGTACTACAAGGATAAAATTTGTTCTTACTGTATTAAATTTCTCTCTCTCTCTCTCTCTCTCTCTCTCTCTCTCTCTCTCTCTCTCTCTCTCTCTCTCTCTCTCTCTCTCTCTCTCTCTTTCTCCCTCTTTATTAATATTCTTCTTATTACTACTTTCAGAGAAGCTAAGTCCACAGCTAGGCTCGTATTTTTTTCAAGTTATTTTAATAATATTTTTTTGTTCTTATTTTTCATATTCTTGGGACAAATTCATTTACGTGTCTATAAACCAAGTAACAATTTAATTGTTCTGTTTTACGGGTAAATAATTTGGCGCCCACCATCGGACATAGACAATTGTATTATTACTTTGATCCACTTATTTGTTATTGAGGAAGTTATATTCCTTTCTACTAGCAAAAGAAAAATTAGATATGGCAGCTAAGAATGTGAACAATTTCTATAATGTTAGAGCACACAACGAGCTTAAGGATGTGTTCCAACATAATGATTCAACTAGTGAAACTCACAACGAGGGAGATGAAACAACTCCTATTCACAAAGAAAAAAATCCTCGGTATGTGAGAAGCCCAACTTCTGGTGATGCGGATGATGAACATATTGTTGAAACGGTCCAAAATCTTGAGAGAGCAACAAAGAAAAATTATGATGTCATGACCCGAAATTCTCACATTCGGGACCGTGGTGGCGCCTAACATTTCACTTGCTAGGCAAGCCAACGTTAGTGAACAGCTAAGTCAATTTTCATTCAAATTCAACATATAAAGCCAATTAAACCCATATGAGATAAAATCAAGTGCGGAATAACATAAAGCCCAATATTTACTACAATGAGGATCTGGAGTCACAACTCACGAGCTTCTAGATTTTTACTACAAATAAAGTCTGAAAGAAATACAACTGTTTTGAAGGAAAAGAAATGGTGAAATGAGAAAATAGAAGGGGACATCAAGATCTGCGGACGCCAGCAGATCTACCTCGAGTCTCCGAATATGAAGATCCAAGCTGCTCCAACTCACGGACAGCTAGGGCCGGTACCAAAATCTGCACAATAAGTGCAGAGTGTAGTATGAGTACAACCGATCTCATGTACTCGTAAGTGTCGAGCCTAACCTCGACGAAGTAGTGACGAGGCTATGACAAGACATCTATATAATAAACTTGTGCAAATAACAGTATATGTACAAGATAACAACAAATAAAAGCAAGACAGGTAATATCAGGAGGGGGACATACTAAGCGAAAAATACAAAATATGATAATTAGAGCGGAATGATAACCAGAACAGTCAATATGCCTTTAACCGGAAAAAAAAACAATTAAACACAATGAAGAAAATTGCACGGCATCACCCCTTCGTGCTTTTACTCTCAACCTCACAATGAAACATTGATAAATGCACGAAATCACCCTTCGTGCTTTTACTCTCACTTACAGCATAAATCAATAGAAACAACACGGCATCACCCTTCGTGCATTTACTCTCATAACATGGCACGCCATCACCCTTCGTGCATTAACACTCACAATATGGCACGACATCACTCTTCGTACATTAACACTCACATACGGCACAGCATCACCCATCGTGCATTAACACTCTCCCTTACCACATAACAATTAACAAGTAATAACAGGGAGATAGGATCAACAAGTACAAGCCTTACTTCAACAACGATTCCACAATACCAAATCTCATCTCGGAATCAAAACTCAATTATCACCAAAGATCATAAACATGATAAGAACGATCAATTTAACAATTAACTAGTCTAAGCATGATTAACATGATCAAGGAAAGCAACATTTGCAAAGAACAAGTCTCACCCGCATGCTATAACCCGACAACAACACATATGTACTCGTCACCTCACATATCCGTTTTACCCAACATCTAAACATGTAGCAAATAGACAAATAAGTCCTAATCCCTCAAGTCAAGGTTAATCACGACACTTACCTCACTCCAAAGACCAAACTCAAATCTCAACAACGGCTTTTCCGTTTAAACAAGCCTCTGAACCAATAGAATCTAGAAAATTACCAACCAAACGATTCAAATTAAGCTTTAGGAACTACCCACGATTGTAAAGAATTCAATTTAGGTCATTTTTGAAAAAGTCAACAACCGGGGCCGCTTGGTCCAAACCCAAAATTTGGACCAAACCCGATTACCCATTCACCCCCGAGCCCGGTAATGTAATTTATTTTTGAATCCGACCTCAATTTGAGGTCTAAATCCCTATTTTTCAAAAATTCCTAATTCTATGCAAAATCCCCAAATTCCACTATCAGAACTTTACATTTTAGGTTGAAATCTTAGGAAAAGTAGTGAAAGATTGAAAGAAACTAGTTTAGACTCACTTACCAATGATTTGGGGAAGAAGAGTCCTTTGAAAAATCGCCTCTAGGGTTTCTAAGTTTGAAAATTTTAAGAATGAACCAAAAATCCCGTCTAAGTCCCATTTTGATCAGTTGCAGATGTCGCATTTGCGAACCCCGCAAATGCGAAGAAACCATCACAAATGTGAAGCTCTTCACATTTTTTCTATCATTGCAAATGCGATGAATGGTTTGCAATTGCGAACTATGATCTCCGCAAATGCGACCAATTGATCGCATTTGCGATCACTACCTACCCCTGTCTCACTTCGCAAATGCGAACTCTAGCCTCCCCAGCTACTCTTTGCAATTACGATGAGTAGCTCGCAAATGCGAATCCATTAGCGGCCGCAAATGCGAAGCCTGACCTCGCAATTGCGAGGTCTGAGGCCTGCAACAAAACTGAAGCACACCAACAGTGTTCTAAGTCCAAATTTTACTCCGTAGCCTATCTGAAACTCACCAGAGCCCTCGGGGCTCTAAAACAAAAGTGCACACAAGTCTAAACATATTATACGAACTTGCTCGTGCGATCAAATCGCTAAAATAACACCTAGAACTACGAATTGAACACCAAATCAAATGAAATTTTCAAGAAAACTTTGGAACTTCTATTTTTCACAACCGGATGTCCGAATCACATCAAACCAACTCTGTTTCTCACCAAATTTGACAGACAAGTCATAAATATAGCATTGGACCTATACCGGGTTCCGGAACAAAAATATGGACTACCATTGGTCAAACATTTTAAATTCATTAAGCCTTTAACTTTCAAATTTCAACAAAGTCCGATAACTCGGGCTAGGAACTTCCGAATTCGATTCCGGGCATACACCCAAGTCCCAAATCACGATATGGACCCACGGGGATTGTCAAAACATGAATCCGGGTCCGTTTGCTCAAAACGTTGAATGAAGTCAACTCAAATAGATTCAAGGCAAAAATTTCATATTTTCTTAGTTTTTAACATAAAAGCTTTCCGGAAACATGCCCGAACTACGCGCGCAAATCGAGGAGGGATCAAATGAGGTATTTAAGGCTTTGAAATGTAGAATTGGGTTCTAAA